CCCTTGTTGAGCAGGAGTTTGAGGTCTGCGGAGAATTTGCCGTCCTCCTCCTCGCCCAGCACTTCTCCTGTGCTCGCCGAAGAGAGGAGGGGTGGGCTCACCGAACGAGACGTCTTAGATCGTCTCCTTGGCGTGCCGCGCCTTGACTTGCGCCACGCGGACGCAGTTCGACACGACGCCGCTCAGCGGACGGCCTAGCTCGCCCGCGACCTTCTGCCGTTTCTCGAGCGGCTGCGGGTCGAGGCTGGGGCGGCCCGCCGCGGAGAGGCCCACCCCAGCGAGGGAGGCGAGGGGGCGGTAGGAGCGGTCGACGGGGCCAAGCTCGTACCCCTGCGAAGACGAGGCTCCTCCTCCCGCCGCCGCTAGCGGCGTCGGCCCGCCGTGACGGCGGGAAAGGAAGTCTCCAGCCCCTGGCTCCTGCAGCGCCTCCGCTATTGCAATCTGCTGGTCAATCTCAGTGAGTGGGGTCTCGCCACCAGGCGGCACGACTATGTTGCCCGCTGCGTAGGGCACCTCTGCGACGGGCATGACAGCGGACGACGAGGCGCCCCCGGCTTGCGGCGGACCTTGCGGCGGCTCGAGAGGAGGGGGTCCTCCCGGCGGCGGCGGCGGCGGCGGCGGCGGCGGCGGCGGCGGTCGCATGGACGGAGGCGGGCGCGAGTCAGCTTCCTCCTCCGCCTCGAGCGGCCGCTTCATCGACGAAGACGCAGCCTCCTCTTGCGGCCGGGCGGCGGGAGGGGGTGCGGACGAAGTCGAGGACGCAGCCTCTTGGGGCCGGGCGGCGGGGGGGAGTGCGGGCGAGAATGAGCCGGAGGCTGGCTGCTGAGCCGGTTGGAGGGAGGGAGGGAGCCGCAGCGTCACGAAGAAGCGTCCGCTCTGGCGCGGCTCCACCTTCAAAATGTTGACGCCGGCCGAGTCGGCGCCGGCGGCGTAGTAGTGGGTACCAAACCGTGAGCCGCTGGCGAAGCCGGCGGCCGTCTTGAGCAGCTTGTCGTCGCTGATGAGCTGCTCAAAGGAGACATTCGTCCCATCGGGCGGAGGGTGGTGCTGCATGCTCTTCTGGCAGGCCTTGTCGTACTTGAGCGGCGATGGAAGACTGGCCAGCCTGGCGTCTTTGTCGCGGTCGAAGGCGAAGACATTGACGTAGGCCGCCCGCGAGTTTGAGTAGGTCTGGACGTAGATGCGGTCCGCCATCGCCGCCGCGCTGCCGAGAGAGTGTCGCAGGCCAGCAGCAAAGCGAGAGTGTCGTGGGGCCGATCTGAGTGTGAGTGATTGTGGAGTGAGTTGGTCTTCTCGTGTGAACAGCGTTCCGAGCTCAGCTGTAGATGGACAGAAAACTGCAATTCCCTTCCCCCCTCGGAGGGGGCCGGAGGAGGCGTACCCCGAGGACCCGCTCTTTCCCCTTCACCCCTCGGAGGGGGCCGGGCGAGGCGTAACCCGAGGGCCCTCGCCCGCTAGGAATAGTCTTCCCTGACCCCGCCCGCCTGCCCGCCTGCCCTGCCCGCCTGTGGCCGATAAGATCTCTTCACCTTCTCATTGGTGGAGTATAGGTACGAGGGTGGTGTGGCATCTCTTGCGGGTCTCGCCAGGGGCGCCTGCCAACCTCGCTTCGTCGAAGCGGCGCTTTGTACCCACACCCACCCCGCCGCATTCGTCGCCGGCGCGCGACAGGCTCCCGTCGGCCGGACTGCCCTCGACGAGTGGGTGTCGCCAACCAAAGCGACACGCACTCAAGGGTAGTGCCGACGGGACGCGGCTCGAGGGCGACTCTCGCGAAGGCACGGCTGGCAACCGTGGCGTGGGGCTCGCGTTCGACAAGACCGGGATCGCTCTACCGGCAAACCTCTCGCTGACATGCGCGCCCCGTCGAGCTGACGGCGGGCGCGCTGAGGTCGCACGCCAAGCCAAGTTATATGCCAATGGCATGCGATCAAGAATCGGCCCACGCACCTCTGCTCGCATACGCTCACCCATAGAATTGTCACCGCCAGTGAGTGCGAGATAGGGCTGGCCGCTGGCGGCTAGCCCCTGAGGAGAGTGACCAGAGACACCTCACATGACCCCACACACGGTCTAGTCCGGCCTCGCGGTCGGCGGAGATTGCTAGAGGAGGAGCAAGCCTGCTCTAGCCTCGCATATTACCTCCTGTCGTCTGTTGTGATGTTGTGCCCTTGTTTGTTTCTCTTGGCACCTTGGAGTGCTGGGGGGGGCGACAGGAGGAATGTGGCCCTGAGTTATGTGTACGCCAACTCAGGGTGTGTGGCAGCCAGCTGGCTGTGTGTCTTGTGAGCTTGTTTGTGTCTGTGTGTTGCTCGTGCGTGTCGTTATCATCTGTCCCGCGTCCACCCACACCGCGTTGGTGTCCAGTCCGAGCCTGGCTGTTCTTCACCTTTCTACCTACCTACCTAGCTAAAGGTAAACTTCGCCATATAAGAGGGCTCCCGCGGCGATCAACACCGCAACTCCTTTTCTAAACTTTTTGTTTTGAAGACCTCGATACTTAGCGCACTGCTCGGGCGAGAGCTCAAACACGTGCCGCGTCTCGTCTTCGCCGCCGGCTACGCGCACAGACACAGTACGCGGCAGCGCCGACACGTCAACCCGCGTGTACGTCAGCGACGGGTCGCGCACGCCGCACGAGGCGCATGCGTGCAGCGGCAGCGCGTGCGCCATGCGCTCGTCGCTCCACTCGCCCAGCAGCCGCCGCTTCGTCTCGTCGGAGACGTGCACGAAGCGCTGCAGCAGCGCCGCCGTCTCGTCCTCGGGCCGCTCCAGGTCCATGACGACGTTCGTCGAGGCGTGGAAGCGCGTCTCCAGGTCGATGGCCGCCTGCTCGGCCGCGGCGAGCTTGCCCTGGTCGACGCACATGCCGCACACCGCGTGCGCCGGGCAGCCGCACTGGCCGCGTTGTGGGCGCACGGTCTTGGCGACCGCCGGCGCTGCGCGCCGGTCGTGCTGCTCACGCTGCCGGCGGCGCTGGTCGCGCGCCTGCCGATCGCGCGTGTTCGCGGCGGCTGCATCTCCTGCTCGTTTCGCTCGCACCCGAGCGGCGGTCGCCAGGCGCTTCAGGTCGGCGGTGCTGCGCGCGCGGCCGTCGGCTCTGCACAGCCACATGTCCTCCTCCTCGGCAGGCTCGCACGGCTTGCCGTCGAACTGCGGCGGGAACCCGCGACGACGCTTCGCCCAGGCCGGGCACGATGGTGCCGCGACGAGCGGCGTCGAGGCGACGGCCATCGATGGGTCCAGAAGACTTGGAGACACTTCTAAACCAAAAGCGAGCACAAGTGCGTTACATGGGCATGGCCGGCGTTTCTGCACCGAACGATCTTACTTTCGGTCTATCGAAAGTGTTGATCGATAACATCTTTTTTTGGACGCCAGTTCGTACTAACGACCCTCCGACACCCGCCGAGGTACGGAGAAAGTTCGTGTGCCTGTGCGGTCGTTTCGTGGACTTGACGGGTCGGCCGCGGTGGGGCGGCAGTGGGGGGTGGGGGCTGGGGGAGTTGCGGAGATGTTGTACCAACTAGAATGCAAAACCCTCTCACGTCTTCACTAGGGTTCGAGCCCTTTTTGCGCCCGCGAGTTTGAGTATGTCTGGACGAAGATGCGGTCCGCCATCGCAGGCCGCCGCGCTGCCGAGAGAGTGTCGCTAGCCACAGCAGCAAGCGCGAGAGTGTCGTGGGCGAGGTCTGAGATGAGTGGATGGTATTGTCTTCGCGTGTGAACAGCGTTTCGGCCCAGGGAACGTGTCTTTCGAGAAAGGGATCGGCGGCGGAGTCTCAGAACGAGGCCGAGGAGAGCGATGAGTCAGAGGATGGAACAGCAGGAGAGAGAACGACGAGAGTGGGAAGAACGCGAGGTGGCATGAAGGTCGCTGCGAGAATTGGTTGGCGAGAAACTGCTAAGAGAGAGAGAGAGATAGGACGAGGTAGACGCCCGAGGGTGGGCGACGGCTAGCACCACACTCCCCTCCTTAAAATCCCTGTCTGGTGGCGGCATGCCGTCCTCCCATCCCTCCCTTGGGGGGGGCACTTGGAGGTTGTCTGTTTTCTTTCTTTTCCGAGAGAGAGATTTTTACAATACCAAACAACTCTAACACTCACACGTCATGTTGTTAATAAATAAATAAATATAAAACGGACACACCAAACAAGGGGTGGGAGAAGGACAGGGTCCCCACCTGCGCGAGCAGGATCTTGTAAGGACGATCAGGGACACAGGGGAACGGGAGCGGGGAGCGCATCGCGACACAGAGGGGGGCTGGGCAGGGTTCACCCACACGACAGGGTCCCGGTCATTTTCTTCTTTTCAGGGAGTTTTGTTGTAAAATTCTTTCTTTTGTGTCTTTGCGGAGTCAGAAGAATGTCCTTGCCCGAGGAGAGCTTGATGTAAACTCGAGGGGCCAAAAACCCAAAATACGCGCTGAGAGGAGAGCGGAGTTGCGCCGAGAGGCGAGAGAAGCCCAGAGAGCCAGAGGCAGCGGCGGCGTCGCAGAACGAGGCCCCGAGGAGAGCGATGAGTCAGAGGATGAAGCGGCAGGAGAGAGAACGACGAGAGTGAGAAGACCGCGCGCGGCGGCATGAAGGTCGCTGCGAGAATTGGCGAGAGACTGCAAAGAGAGATAGAAGAGGATGTGTGAGCAGCGTCTCTTGGGCCCGAGGTTATGACTTTGTTTACTTGCGTTATGAGGTAAGGTCTGGCGAGGCTCAGGACGCGGTCGTCGGTGATTCGGAGAGAGGGCGCTCTCTGTGAACAGCGTGCCGCTTAACCGCACCCATGAAAACAATTCACAAACCAGCGCGAACTTGGTGGGGGCGGTTCACGAACCAGTTCGCGAACCCAGTTCGCCAACCGGCGGTTCACCGCCGGTTCGCCAGACTCGGTTCGTTCACGGTTCACGGTTCGCGGCGGGTGTCGCGGGAGGAGTCGGTTCACGGATCACGGTTCATTCACGGACTCGGGGTGGGGGCTAGACTGGGATACTCGCAAGAAGAGTGATCATGGTGCTAACTTGAAAACGCCGATCGCCGAGTTTTGCGTTGGGGCCATTCCGTTCCGAACACTCCGGCAGCATCTCCGCCCCGTCCCCCCGCGATACACTGTGGCTTGTTGCAGATGCACGTGAGATAGAAACGTTCACTTTTAGCGCGTTTCGCGCATCTAAGCTTACTAAAGCTATATACGCGCTGTACAGCCATGCCCAGCTGCCCGGGGCCGGCCTAATAGACCGGGAGGGATGGCCCGACGGGGAGCACGAGCAGCTGAACGGTGCTTCGTTGAAGCGTGTCTGGCGGTCTGACTCGATTGGCACACGCCGCCTGATGGGCGGTGTGTGCCAATCACTCGTCACCAGCTCAGCGGTGGCGCGGGCGGGAGTTCCGCTGCTCCCCGTGAGTTGACATCAAATAGTGAATAACGTTTTGTTATGGTTCTATCTCACGTGCATTTGCAACAAGCCTGTGTACAGTTCGTAACGCTTCAAAAGCTGAGCCACAGCAGCGCACAGGAGACACGCTAGGGCTAGATAGGAGCATGTGATGAGCAAAATATGATAGGTTTCGTCAATTATAGACAATTTGTAGAGTTTCGTCAAGGCTCGTATGTCGGCAAACCTATGCATCCCGGGTTTATCGCTTCCCGCGCGCAAGCTTCTTATTCATCTCCCGCTCATAAGCCGTACGCTTGCCCGATGCGGCTGCGACTGAGTCGGCAATAGATGCGGCTGCAAAGGCGGCGGCCGAGGAGGCTTCGATCTGGAGCTTATGCCTCTTCGCCTCGTCGTAATCTTCCACCGCCACTGCCTCCATCTTCGCCTGCTGCAGAGCTTGAATCTCCTGCGCCATTACCTCTACCGCTTTGGCAGTCGCCGCCTTTTTCTCTGCCGCTTTCGCCACCGTCGTGTCGATCTTGATCTTGATCTTTTTCGCTTGGTCGTAGTCCTCCTGTTGCACCGCCGCCTGCTTTGCAAGCTGCAGCGCTTTAATTTCCTGCAGCTCTGGCATCTCCTCTGCCGCCTCCGTCGCATTGGCCTCCGCTATTGCCGCCGGCTCCGCCTCCGCCTTGGCCGCCGCATCATGGCCGTCTGCTTCCTCATCCCGCTCCCGTTGAGCTCGCCAGCTTGCAAGCGCGCGCATATACGTTTCGTTGGTGCAGCCATGGGCAACGAGGTGCTCCCGGACGCGCCCTGGCCATCCTCCGTCTCTCTGGGTGGGCAGGCACCGTCCCGCGACGGAGAGACCGTCGTCGATGCCGGTGCACTCGCGCAACCAGGGCTCCCGGCCGCAGCGCACGGCAGGGCGCATCTCTTCGCCGAGCGCCCCGCAGTTCGGCAGCCGGAGCATGACGAGCTCTGCGCGCACCTCCGCGGAATAGAACTCCTTGTGGCCCATGATCTGCAGGCTGTCAAACGGCAACCATGTCTCCCACCACGGGGCAAACGGCACCGCGCTCGCTGCCGGAGCGCCCTCGGAGCCGCCGCCTTCAGCGGACCGATTCGCTGCGCTTGCGACCCTCTCGCGGATGTAGACGGACCCATTGACGCAGACCGCCGCGTGCGTACGCGTCAGGTTACGGGTGATAGCCTTTGCCTCCGCGGTCCCGACCACTTTGGTGCGGCCCACGTTTACCGACACGCCGGAGCCCTGCGCAAAGTAAAACCACGCCACGTCCCCGTTCGGCACGGCACAGTGCGTCACCTCAACCCAGCTGTGGCTTTCGGCTGGCCTCCAACGATAGACGCCGCCGTTGTTCGTGCGGCGAATCCAAAGTGGCCTGCCGGTAGGCTCGTAGTAAAGGTGCTGCAGCCTGTAGAAGAGCGGCAGCGGGTATCTGTTGTGGCCGAAGTTGCAAGTGCCGCCGGCGGCTACAAGGCGCTTGAGCGTGGCGTTGGTCAGAAGCGTTGGCCACAGGAGCTTGAGGCTCTGCATCGGCATGCGGTCGCGCGCCCCGTAAAGTGCAATGGAGTAGCTTTCGACATCCGCTGGGCGCAGAAGTTCGTCGAGCATCCTTTGGTCGCGGTCCAGCTGTTCGTAGACGCGGGCTCGCGCCTCAGCAGCTATTGCGGCGACATACTCATCGACGCTTATGTTCATCGCGGCGAGATTCGCTCGCGTATGGCGCCCGATGCGGCCATACGCGCAGACAACGACCAGCCAGCCAGCGCTCATGCGTCCAAAGGCTTGACCTGGAGATCCTGCGTGACCAGCAGGGTGATATGAGATGTGAACGGCGGCCACATCACACTTCTCCCTTTCTGTCCCTAATGTGTTCACACCGACATGAAATGGAATCTTTCCGCCGCCCCTGCCCTGTCAAGGCATTAAAAAACCACCGGCTGGCCAGCCAGGAAGCGCTCACAGGGCTTTGAGGCGCCTTGTCGCGGTCGCGGATAGGCGGTGACCCAAGCCGCCAGTGCTCGTCATTCCTCAAGGTAAAACTTCACTTCACAGCCTTGTTATTGAGAAGAAGATACCTCCTATGGCGCTGTGCGCTGGTCTGTGATTCACAGAAGCCCGGGTTGTGTTCTTTTTTTTCAGTGCGCGCCAGTCCCGTGCCCAGTGTCGTGCGAGGGAGTTTGTTGTAAAATTCTTTTTTTGTTTGGACGCCGTATCGAACCATCGTACTACTTGGGCCTTATTAACCGACCCTCCGCCACCCGCCGAGGTCGATGTCGAAAGAGGCTTACCTGTCTCTTTACGCGGGAAAGCACAGTGGGAAAGGTCGTACGGTCGTTACGACGCGCCCGTGGACGTGGCCTCGACGGCCGCGGGCCGGGGTCGCGTCGTACCACCGTTAGAGGGGGCGCAGCGTCCTAATCTAAAATCCGAGGATTCAGGATTCAGGCATCGCTTCAGTGAGGCCAAAGTGAGTTTATGGATGTGTGAGAACGGTGCGGGACACGAGGAGTCACGCGGACCGACTCGTCGGTGACTCTGCTGCACGCCGTTTAAGAATTTTTCTCAGCGTGAGCGAGATGTGGAAGAGTGCCACCGTCGGGTAGGACGGGTCGGCCCGGCGGAGTATCAGAGTGGCCGTCGTGGTCGCGGCGAGCAGTGCCGGCCACTCCGGGTCCGGCGCCGCGTCGGCACCATGGGAGCATGTCCACCGCCACGCGCCACTTCGCGGTCGCAGGCCAGCGCTGTTGTCGCCCAAAACGCCGCTATGTACCTTTTCGGGCAAACCTTTTCGGGCAAACCATCGAGCTGTATGTCGATTTCGACTTGACGGCGGCATGGAGGCCTCAATCAGAATCACGTCTCCATATGCCGCCGTCAAGTCGGAGCCAGTCAGCGGCGACCACAGCGCTCAGCAGAATACAGAAAGGTACATGGCGAGCTCTTTTCAGAGTCAAGCGATTGCGCGAAATCCCACAGTGGTGGATCGGAGATGTTGTACCAGCTATAGAATGCAATACCCTCTCTCAGCATGTGGAGGGTCGCGCGCACACACAGGGGCGGCCCCTCTAAAGATTGCGCACACACAAGAGCCCGCAAGAGACCTCACCCCCTTCCTCTTCCCCCTTCTCTGATAGGTGATGAGACACCGTGGTGTGCACGTCCATGGGCATGACGCTGCGCGAGACGACCCGCCCGTCCCAGCCCTCGCCCCTCTCACCAGCGACCGTCCCGGCGAGAGGGGCGTCGACGTGTTAGGCGCGCTCGTGCAAGCCTCCAAACTCGGCGTTCGCGAACGCCTCCCCGAGACCCTCTCTCAGGGAGGCGGCGTCCGTGTACTCGGGCAAGTAGAGCTTGTTGCCGCACGTCTGCGCCGTCGGCAGCTTTGCGCCGTTGTGCTGCGGCAGCACCTCGATCTCGAGCGAGGCGAGGCCGACCGGCGGCAAGTGCGGGCAGGCGGTGACGAAGTTGAGGAAGGCGCGCCGCTCGGCGTGCGCCATCGCCTGCAGCTCGTCGATGAGGAGCTGGTACACCTTGGAGTGCTTCGTATACCCGCCCGCCGGCAGGATGTGCCGCGACAGCTCCGCCTCGGTCCACTCGATCGATCCGGTGCCGCAGAGCGTCGCGCGCAGCTCGGCCAGCGTGAAGGGCGCGAGCCTACGACACGCACAGCGCGAGGTTGGCCGAGGGGAGGCGGGCCGAGGGGCGCGACGCGGGAGGGGCGGCACGCGCGCCGGCTGAGCGGAAACACCTCGTCGAAGCCCGCGCGAAAGGCGGCCGCCTGCGGGGCGAGGGAGGTTCGGGGAGGCGTCCGGACAGAGGCGTGCAGAGCGAGGCGATAGAGGGGAACGTCTACAGGCCGTGGAGGCGAGGGGGGAGAAGGGGCCGCTTGCCTGCTCGGCGACGCCGTCGGCGAGCCACAGCTGGGCAAGTAGGTGCACAAACTCGCGCAAGCTCTCGGCCGTCACCTGGAGAAGGAGGAGGTGGCGTAGTGTCGGCGGGCGGCGCAAGTTGGAGGGGAGGGGAGGGGAGGGGTGGTTGTGGTGGTGTTGATGGTGGTGGTGGGAAAGGGGGAGGGGGGGGGGGGGGGGAAACGCGGACCTCAATCTCCTCGCCGCCGGCGCAGAGCGGCGCGCCAGTGAGCGGGCACGCAAACGTGGCCCCCGTCGCGGCGAGCCAGTCTGCCAGCGACATCGGGGCGCCCAGCCCCATGCGCGCCACCGCAAACTCCGCCGCTGCCGCCGCCGCCGCCGCGCTGCGCCGCGCCGCGGGGTCGTCGTAGCCCGCGGCGGCGTCGGCGGCGGCGAGCTCGCACGCGACGGCGGCGTAGGCGGACGCGACGCCGCCCGTGGCGCCGGCGGGGGGCAGCGCATCGTAGGTGAGGCTGCCGCCGCGCACGAGGTGGAGAAAGTCGAGCGACAGGGGCAGCGGGACGATGAAGTCGTCGCGGCACGCCTTCGCGGCGAGCCGGCCGAGGAAGCGGAAGCGGCCGCGAACCGCCTCGCGCACCGCCGGCGGAGCCTCTGGCGGGAGCGGGCGCGGGAAGAGGGAGCCGGGGTGCGAGATGAAGCCCTCGGGGTCGATGCCCGCGTGCTCGGCGAGCCAGAGCGGCAGCTCGGCCTGGTGCTTCGCCTTGAGCAGCTCGTTGGCCACCGCCGAGTAGAAGTTTTGCGTCACGCCCGAGCCGAAGCCGCTCTCGCCCTCAAACTGCACCTCGAGCGCCGACGCGCAGCCCGCGTGCAAGCCCATCAGCCGCTCCGCGCTCGGCAGCAGCGCGTCGCGGCTGACGCGCGCGATGTCGGAGCGCAGCGCGCCCATCCGATCGCGTCCGATCCGGTCCTCCACCTCGGCCACCTGCTCCACCACCTCGGCGAGCGCCTGCGCGTCAGACGACACCTCCGCCTCGAGCCTACGCGGACGCGTCAGATGCACGCGTCAGATGGACGCGTCACGGACGCGTGCCGCGTGCAGCGCCACGAACCCCCCCCCCCCCCCCCCCCTCCCGCTCGAGCCTCGCGGCCTGTCTCTGCCCATCTCCGCCCATCTCTGTTATCTCGGCGCTGATGACTGCGCGCCTCGCGCGGTCGAGCGCGGCGAGCTCCTCGGCGTACGCGGCGCGCACCGCGGCGACGCCCTGCTCCTGCGACCAGTGCAGCGCGCGCGAGACGCCAAAGGAGGTTGCGTGGAAGTAGCGCGCGCGCGAGCCGGGCGAAAAGAGGTCGGGGCAGCGCCGCAGCAGCACCTCGCACCATCCGGGCAGAGCGCCCGCCGTCACGGCGAGCGCGTCGCCCAGCTGCTGCTGCAGCTTGGAGGAGAGTCGCGGGGAGACGAGCTGCCGCCGCAGCGTGTCGGCCGAGCTGGGAGCCCCCTCGCCGTCGCACGCGCCGCCCATGCTGCTCGACGAGCGGGCGAAGGCGGGCGGCGCGCCGGGGGCGGACGATGCGCCGGCGCTGGCGGCGGAGGAGGAAGCGGCGGCGGCGGCGGCGGCGGGAGCGGCGGCAGGGGACGCGCCGGCGGCGGCGGCGGGCGGCGTGTGGTCGGGCGCGGAGGGAAGCAAGCGCTGCGCAAGCAGGCAGAGGGCGAGGAGGGCGTCGGTGAAGGCGCCATCCGTCGCGCCGCAGCGGGACAGGTCCGACGCGAGCGCCGAGAGCGAGGCGGCCGAGGGCAGCGGCGAGGCGACCTGCCGGGCGGCGCGGCGCGCACCCGACACTTCCCGGAAAGCCTCCATCACGGCCGCCGCCGCCGGGGCGACGCGCTCGGGCGCGCGGAGCAGCGCGAGCGTCGGCGGCGAGAGCGCCGCCTCGCGCGCGGGCGCGGAGGCGGACGCCCTGCGCAATTCTCGCAGCACGGCGTCCGCGCTCAGCTGGCCGGCGAGGATGCCCGCCTCAGCGTCGGAGGCGCTCCACGGCAGCGGCGGCGAGGCGGCGGCGGCGGCGGCGGAGTCGTCCGAGGCGGCGGCCGAGGCGGCGGGCAGCGGGTGCGAAGCGGAGGGTCCGGGCGAGGAGCTGGCGGCGGCGGTGCGGGGGACTTCCACCTTGTACCAGAGGTGCCAGACGGGCGGGCCGCTGCCGCGCGGCTTGCGGAAGCAGGGCGGCGCGATGCGAGTGTAGGTTGCGCGCTCGGCTGCGTCCATCTTGAGGTACTCGGCCTCGCACACGTCGTAGTTCTCGCCGTCCAGCTTGTACCGGTCGCCGAGGATGGGCGACATGCCCGTCCGGTCGCACGTCACGCCGGGGTGGTAGCCGAGCTCGCGCGGCGTCAGCTGCGCCCGCAGCGGCGACGTCTCGCGCAGCCGCTGCAGGCAGTGCAGCAGCGTCGTGCCCTCGCCAAACGCCTCCACCGGCGCCCCCTCGGGCGGCGCTGTCCCGTCCGGCAGCCCGAGCGAGAAACGCACACGGAGCCGCATCGGCGCGATGCCGGCAACCGCGCCAACCTCCGCCCGCGCGCCCTCCGCCGCCGCCTCCTCGCCGCCGCCGCCGGCAGCCGCGTCGTCGTCGTCCGTCTCCATCGCCTCGGGCGCCGAGCCGGCCGCGGCCGCCGCGCCGCCGTCCATCGGCACGTGGCCGACCTGGCCCGCGCGGCCGACGTGGAAAGCGGAGAGGGTGCGGCGCAGGTTGGCGGGCGCCGACTCGCGACCGCCGAGCTCCGGGTCGGCGCGCCGCTCCTCGCGCGACGAGAGGAACTGCTCGAACGTCATGAAGATGGCGGCGAGCGGGTTGAGCCGCTTCGACGCCTCCTCCTGCGGCACCGCGCGAACGCGGTACCCCGGCACCGCCGCCTCAAATGAGCCGTCGTCAAACACGAGCGAGAGGCCCCCTCCGGCGGCCTCGGCGACGGTAGCGGGCAGCCACTGCGCGCCACCGCTGCCGCCCTCGTCGCCGCCCGCCGCGCCGCCGGCGCCGCCGCCGGCACCGGCGCCGCCCCCGCCACCGCCGAAGGCGACCAGCCCCTGCACGCGGGAGAGCAGCGGGAAGCGCTCCGCCGCGGGCGGCTCGCCGTCGCCGCCGCCGTTGGACGACTCGTTGTCGACCTCGACCGCCACCATGAGCGTGTCCTTGAGCCGCGTCACCAGCGTCTCCGCCTCGCGCTTGGTCTGCCGGCGCGCCACCGCCGCCGAGCCCGTGTCGCGCAGCTTCTCGCCGAGCCCGCGCTCGAACTGCGCGCCGCCGCGCTCCCAGCCGCGGTCGCGCCAGCCGTAGTCGTCGTTGACGGAGCGCGTCATCGGCGCGCAGCCGGGCTCCGCCTGCCGCAGCGCGCGCCGCACCTCGGGCAGCACTTCGGAGAGGAAGAAGTCGACGGGCAGCCCCTCGGGGCACGAGATGGTGACCGAGTGGATGCGCGCGTCCGGGTCGGCCACCGCGCCGCGCGAGCCGCCCGCCGCCGCGCGCGAGCGCGCCTCGGCGAGCCGCTCCTTGGAGACGCGGCCGACGATGCGGTACTCGCGGCTCGCCATCACGACCTCGCAAGCCGCCGGCCGCGAGCCGGCGGCGCCGCCCGCCGGCGGGTCGTACTCGAGCGTGTGGAGAGGGAGCCGGAGCGGCGTCCCCACCCGCAGCCCAGTGACAGTCGCCCGCCGGAAGGGGAGGCCGCCGCCGCCGCCGCCCGCCCCGCCGGCGGCGGCGGTCGCCGCCGCGTCGCCGCGCGGGAGGGGCCGCTCCTCGATGACGCAGCCGACGAGCCGCTCGCAGAACGCGTCGTAGGTAGTGTCGTCGGGGGCGGTCGTGCGCAGGAGCAGCGCCTGCAGCTCTGCGACGCGCACCAGAGGGTCGATCGAGTACTGCAGCGGCGGCGCGGGCCCACCCTCGGCCTCCGCCGCCGCCGCCGCCGCCGAGGCGGGGTGCAGCGGGTGCAGCACCACGTGCAGCGACTCGCCGAGCGGTTTGAGCGCGTGCGCTGCCTCGCCGGCAGACGAGTAGG